GGAACTGGATTGGAAGCAGAATAGCCAGGTCTTGAATCAGACAGTCTGAAAAGGGACGCAGGCTTCCCTAGGGACAACTTAGCCACTGCACCACACTGCTGCCCCCTCAATTAAAGTATAAAGGCAGAGGGCCGATGCTGTGGTGTAGTGGGTAAAGACATCTTCTGCAGTGCTGGCATACCATTTGGGTGCCGGTTCAAGTCACTTCCTATCCAGCTCTCTGCTACGGCCTGGGAAAGCAGTAGAGGATGGCCCAAGTCCTAGGGCCCCTTCACCCATGTGGGAGACCCAGAAGTTCCTGGCTCCTGGCTTCAGCCCAGTTCGGGACATTGCAGCCATTTGGGGAGTGAAACAGTGCATGGAAGACTTTCTCTCTCTCTCAACCTCTGCCTCTCTGTAACTCTGCCTTATGAATAAATAAATAAATCTTTTAAGCAAAAAGTATAAATGCAGAAAAAAAAGAAGCCTTGATGTGGCTCAAGGGCATTTAAGATTTGCTTATTCTCCAGGAACAAGGAGTCAGTAGTTCTCAAATTTATATGTGCATTTGAATCACTTGAAAAGTATCTGTCTATTAAGTCAGCTTTGTTGAGGTACAATTTGTATACAATGAAATGTACATGATATAAGTGTGCAGTTAGATGAGTTTTGACAAAGGTATACAGTCGCATAACCATCACTGCAACCAAAACGTACAAAAATAGCATCACATGGAAATTTCTTTCATGCTTCTTTGCAGTCAATTCACATAACCCTGCCCTACATAACCATTGGCCTGATTTCTGTCATTGTGGATGGGTTGTGTCATAGAACTTGACATAAATATCTGCATACCATGTGTACTCTTTTATGGCTTTTTTGCTCAGAGTCTTGTTTTTGAGATTTGTTTATGTTATTGCTTGTGTAAAGCGTGTTCTGTCTTAGAACTGAGTGATTGTTCACTCTAGGAGTCTTCTCTATTGCAGACTACTAGGCCCTCTGTTGCTCTTGACATTACGAACTCTGTGAGTTTAACATGTTTTGGAGGGAATCCTTACACAGAGGTTATGTTTATGTACTTTTTAATTATAGGGAACTTCCCTCTGTTTTAAATATTTCCCAAATGCAACTGTTAGTGGCTAAGAGTAAATTGGTCACAAGTTCTGTGCCGGTCTGAGACTTCTCACTCCTGTCAGGCCATCTCAGCCAGATACTGTGGCCTTTTGTAGTCCATGAAGTTTCTGGAACCTGTAACAAATCCCAAGGCGTCAGCTCTGCAAATATGCTTTCAGTTCTAAGTACTCGTAAATTGAGTTATGGGTCTCGGTGTTCACAGGTTAGTCCATAATCCTAATCTATAAATGCTCACCTCTGTCATGGAAAAGCAGAGGGGCTCTGAGCAGCCTTCCATTTCAGCCCACCTGCTAGAATTACTCATGACAGTTTTATGAGTTGTTTTACTGTCTGGTAAAATTTTTTTTCTTTTTTTCCCCCTTAACAAATGAGGGAAGACTTCGATCACAGTACGCAAACGCCACCTTCAGGAGGGAAATATAACATTTTTATTAGACCACAGGAACATTGGCTTATTGTTGAAAACTGAAGTCCCGAAGTCCACATTTTAAAACAATTTCAGATTTTTAAAAAATAGACTATTAGGCTATTTGAGTTATAGGTTCAGATAAAAATTGAGTGACAGGTATAGAGATTGTCCATATCCTTCCTGATCCTCGTGTACACACAGCACCCACCACCATCATCTCTCATCAGACAGCACATTTGTTATAATCAATGAATCTATATTATTATCTCCTAAAATCCATAGTTTACATTAGGGTTCAGGCTTGCTGAACCCATGCCATGGGTTTGATAAATGTATAGTGGCTTATACCTACAATTATAGTCTCATGTAGAGTAATTTCACTGCCTTAAAACCCACTATGCCCCAGTTAGTCACCCCTCCTTTCTCCCTAACCCCTGGCAACCACTGATCCTTTTACTATCTCTGTAGTTTTGCCTTGTCCAGAATGTCAAATAGTTGGAATCATACAGTTTGTGGCTTTTTCAAATTGACTTCTATCATTTAATATGCGTCTGAGTTTCCTATCTTTTTATGATTAATAACTCATTTCTTTTTTACTGTTGAATGATGTTCCAATGTGTAGATGTACCACAGCTTATTTCTCTATTAACTTATTTGGTAACATCTTGGTTGCTTCCAAGTTTTGGCAATTATGAATAAAACTACATGCATTTGTATGCAAGTTTTTGTATGTACCTAAGTCTTTAATACCTTTGGGTAAATGCCAAGGAGCATGATTGGTGGACTGTAAGGTAAGAGAATTTTAGTTTTGTCAGAGATTGCCAAATTGTCTTCCAAAGTCATCGTACCATTTTGCACTACTAGAAACGAACAGAAGTTCCTGTTGCTTGACATTCTTATTAGCATTTGGTGTTGCTAGTTTTGGATTTTGGTGATTCTAATAGATTTACATCTCACTGATATTCTTGTTTGAAACTTTCTAGTGCCATATGACATTTTTTCACATGCTTATTTATCTTCTATATCTTCTTTGCTGAGTATATGTTAAAGTCTTTTGCCAATTTTTAAATTAAATTGCTTGTTTTCTTATTGTTATGTTTTTTTATTTATTTATTTTTTTTTATTTTTTTTATTTTTTTTTTTATTTTTTGACAGGCAGAGTGGACAGTGAGAGAGGGAGACAGAGAGAAAGGTCTTCCTTTGCCGTTGGTTCACCCTCCAATGGCCGCCGCGGTTGGCGCGCTGCGGCCGGCGCACCGCGCTGATCCGATGGCAGGAGCCAGGAGCCAGGTGCTTTTCCTGGTCTCCCATGGGGTGCAGGGCCCAAGCACCTGGGCCATCCTCCACTGCACTCCCTGGCCACAGCAGAGGGCTGGCCTGGAAGAGGGGCAACCGGGACAGAATCCGGCGCCCCGACCGGGACTAGAACCCGGTGTGCCGGCGCCGCTAGGCGGAGGATTAGCCTAGTGAGCCGCGGCGCCGGCCCCTTATTGTTATGTTTTAAGTGTTCTTTGTATATTTTGGATACCAGTCTTTCATCTATATGCTTTTTTGCAAATATTTTTTCTTAGACCATGATTCATTGTCTCACTCTTTTGACATTGTCTTTTACAGAATAGAAGTTTTTAATTTAAATGAACTCTGGTTTATCAATTATTCACCTCATGGCTTCTGCCTTTTAAAAATTTATTTTCATCTCACTTGAAAGGTAGACACACAAAGGGAGATGGAGAGGGAGAGTGGAAGGGGGAGAGAGAGAGTGTGCGTGCTTCCACCCACCGGCTCATTCTTCAGATACCTGCCAACAGCTAGGACTGGGCAAGGTCGAAATCAGGAACCTGGAACTCAATGTGTCTCCCATATGGGTGACACGGGCCCAGGGAATTGAGCCATCATCTGCTGCCTCACAGAATAAGCATGAGCAGTAAGCTGGATCAGAAACAGATTAGCTCTGACTTAAAATGTAGGTTGCCAAGCACTGACTTAGCTGCTGTGCCATATGACCACCCTTCTTTATGCCTTTTGATTTATCAATTAAAAGGCATCACCAAGGCCGGCGCCGTGGCTCACTAGGCTAATCCTCTGTCTTGCAGCGCCGGTTCTAGTCCCGGTCGGGGTGCCGGATTCTGTCCCGGTTGCCCCTCTTCCAGGCCAGCTCTCTGCTGTGGCCAGGGAGTGCAGTGGAGGATGGCCCAAGTACTTAGGCCCTGCACCCCATGGGAGACCAGGAGAAGCACCTAGCTCCTGCCTTCGGGTCAGCGCGGTGCGCTGTCCACAGCCTGCCGGCCACGGCGGCCATTGGAGGATGAACCAACGGCAAAGGAAGACCTTTCTCTCTGTCTCTCTGTCTCTCTCTCTCACTGTCCACTCTGCCTGTCAAAAAAAAAAAAAAAAAAAAAAAGGCATCACCAAACTCAAGGTAATCTTAAATTTCTCCTAAGTCACCTTCTAAGAGTTTTGTACTTTTGCATTTTACATTTAAGTTTATGACCCATTTTGAGTTAATTTTTTGTGAGGAGTATAAGGTATGTATTTAAATCCTTTTGTATATGAATGTACAGTTGTTCCAAAACCATCTGTTGAAAAGATAATATTTGTTCCATTGTATTACCTTTGTTTCTTTGTCAAAGATCAATTGACTGGCCAGCAGCACGACTCTCTTGGCTAATCCTCCGCCTGCAACACCAGCACCCTGGGTTCTGGTCCCAGTTGCTCCTCTTCCAGTCCAGCTCTCTACTGTGGCCAGGGAAGGTAGTGGAGGATGGCCCAGGTGCTTGGGCCCTGCACCTGCATGGGAGACCAAGAGGAAGCACCTGGCTCCTGACTTTGCATCGGCGCAGTGTGCCGTAGCGGCCATTTGGGGGGTGAACCAACGGAAAGGAAGACCTTTCTCTCTGTCTCTCTCTAAATCTGCCTGTCAAAAAAAAAAAAAAAAAAAAAAAAAAAAAAGATCAATTGATTATGTGTGGCTATTGCTGGATTCTCTATTCTGTCTGTTGAATAGCTTATTTATTTATTTATTTTTTTTACCAATCCCACACTATCTTGATTGCTATAGATTTACACTAAGTCTTGAAGTCAGGTATTGTCAGTCTTCTGACTTTATTCTTCTTCATTGTGTTACTTCTTTTGGATCTTTTGACTCTGCATATAAACTTTAAATAAGTTTGTTGATAACTTGCTGGGATCTCTACTGGTATCTTGCTGAAATTATAGATCAATCTGGGAAGATCTGCCATCTTGACAGTTCGAGTTTTCCTATGCATAAACACAAATATCTATTTAATTTGGCTCTTCTTTGACTTCTTTCATCAGAGTTTTAGAGTTTTCTTCATAGAGATCTTATATGTATTTTGTTATAGTTATATCAGAAGGCAGCAGGAAATTAGTCATTGTGTTAGTCAGCTTTTTGTTTCTACAGCAAAATACCTAAGGCAATTAGTCTTATAAAGAGGAAAGGCTTATTTGGCTCATAGTTTAGGAAGTTCCAAGTCTAAGATCACTGGTTTGGACTTTGATGAGGTCAGCAGAAGGCAACACCAGGGATAAGTGCTGGAGCAAATGGTCACGTCTTGAGCCAGGAGTGGAACTAAGGTTTATAGCAACTCTTCTGGGGAAATTACATTGCCTTCAATGATAGTATGACCTTCCATTAGGCTCCTCACCTCCTAAGGATTCTAACACCTCCCAGTGGAATCACGTTATGGATTAAGCTTTGTAACTGGGGGACTATCAACATGCAAACCATAGCAGTCTTCATGGAGCAGGTTGGATTCCCGACTGTGAAAGGGGGAGGGAAAAATTTTTCTTCCAGGCATCCAGTAAGTACAAGAAATGACTTGAAACTGGGAATAAGCACTGCATGAGTAATAATCTAACTGGAGCATGAACAGAATGGCCATGGAGGCTTAAAGAACGTGGAAGGTAAGTCTCTCCTTCAGGTGTGGTTGTTCATAATTTTATTTTCTCTGATGGTAAAGGAGGGGAGTTTTTTTTTTCACACTTTTATAGAGCAAAAAGGCCATAATCTAGTTTCATATTTTATGTAATCATTGTAAATAACTGTAAGTCTTATGAACATGACAGAATGATTAAAGTCTCCCTTCTCAGAATGCTAGGATATTGCATGTCTTTTCATCCCTTCCCTTCTACATTTTTGGAAGACAGTAAGAGAACTGGCCTGGGGGGAGGAGTAGGCTGCTGCTTTGCAGCTAGGAATAGACATGGCCTTGGGCGTATTAGAAGTGGTTGACTTTCATGATTTTACTCTCTCTTGGACCCTCCCTGTGAAGGTAAAGGACTTCTCAGAGAATGTGAGCCCTTGTACTGCCATTATAAAGACAGAACTGATTGCAACATCCATTCAATGATGTGTAGAATACCAAATATGAGTAACTTTGGGGTTTCTGCTACTTTTGATTGAACCCCAGTTCTCCATTTGTCTGGTAACTGGAGGTTCACTACATGTATGCCTTATCACTGTCAGGTTTGTGGTGCTAGTAGGAAATCATTCATTGAAGTGCCTTTTGTTATTGATGCTAGAAGTTGCCTCTCATCTCCTTAAAAAGGATGACGGTATCATACAGTGCTAATACTGCTATCTGGGGTTGTAGGAACCAGGGGTATTGCTCATCCTTCTAGTTCCTATTCTACTCTGGTGAGGTTGAAGAGTAGCAGCATCAAATACAAAAGCTATATTAAAGTCTCAGTATCAACTTTCCCTAGTAGGATGTTGTAGATCATAAAAGGGCACAAATATATTTCTTTCTCTCTCTGCAGAGCTGACTACTTACAAAATCTCCCATTCTGAAAAATAGTGTTGTATGCATATGTTATCTTGAGTTTTCTTTATTTATGTTGGATTAAGGCTGACATTTATTCACTAGTGAATTCAACAAATGTTTCTTGAACAGTCACTTTACAAAAAGCCTGCGCTTTGGGAAGGGCATATAATGCTGAACAAACAGCTTGTCATTGTTCTCAGGGCATTTAGATTCTACTAGGAAAGGCAAAAAGTAAGACATTACACTAGAATATAAAGAGCATGCAGATGAGAGGGCTCCATGGGGAGCACACAGCAGAGGAGCCTGACCTGGTCTGGAGGATACATTAGGCAGCAGGAAAAGAAGAGTGCTTCAGGAAGAGTTGCAACCAGGGCACAGGACCAGTCCTATCAGGGCACACAGTGGTACAAGCCACAGCCGCAGAAAGAGAGGCAGGGATCTGATCCTGAGGAGTATGGATTTTATCAAAAGGGCAAGATAAAGCCACTGAAGAATTAAAACAGAGGAGAAAAAAGTGCATATAAGAAAAAGTGCCTTTCCCCACTACTGAAACAGAGAAACACACAAAAGCTTGTTTATTATTGTAGAGTAACAGCAAGTTTCAAAGCTCACCTCCAATGCTGCCACATATTTAAATAGTCACCTGGTAGCATTATTTTTCATCCTGGGTAAGGGTCAACTATGAAAAAGAAGATGAGAAGTAGTGTGGTGCTTTGACTTCTAGAGGGCTCAGAGATTTCCATGGGCCAGGATGGTTTGGCCTAAGACTGACCCCTCAAAACCATGGAGACTGTCTCTATGGTGTCCAGATCAGAAAAGATAGAAGAAAAATTACCAAAACTCACAGGTGTTATCTCTATTGTGAGTGATTTTATTTCATGGCTTATATTTTTAGTAGCCTCCAAATTTTTGTATTACATCTATATTCTAAGAAAAGGTCACTTTTAATTTCAAGCATGATAGTAGAAATCAAGTTGAGCTGTCTAGAATTTTTCTCATTTCTTTTATTCTTTAATAATCAAATTTTCATCTGTGCATATCCTAAAGGTCACAAACAGCAAATTTTGATTCACTGTCCATTAGTCAGGGAAGTCCTGAAAGGCCCACACTGAGGAGATACCATCCATGCCGCGTCAGCTTTTCTAGGCCTGCACTTCCTTCAGCTTCTTCCCTTCTGCAGTGTTCATGATGGAATTCGTGCCTTTTTCCCAGATTTAATACTCAACTCCAGGGTGTCGCTGAAGCAGGCTCATGCACTGACACAGCTTTCCTTCTCAAGTCCTGGGTTCTGACATCTCAGAAGACACATTTGGCGGTGGTGGTGGTGTGTGTGGAGGGGCAGAAGGGTCGGCTGTTGGAAAAGGTCTTCCCTGACCTCGTGGGCTCCCTCATTTTACCAAAGAGGAGAGAGAGATCCGGAGAGGCTGAACAACTTGACCAGAGCCATGGAGCTAGTTACTGGCAGAACTGGGTCCAGAATTACCTCTTGTAATTCCTAGAATATTGTCCTCACTCCATCCTGTCGCCTGCATGGGGAGGAGATAATGGGAGAGGGTAGATACAGGATGGTGATCTCATACCAGAGGCAGAGAAGATTAGGGAAGTGGGAAGGGGAGGGTGGAAATCAACAGGGAGAAAAGACTAGGTTGGGGGTGATGCCAACCCCAGGGCAAGGCTTGAACAATCTGGGCTAATCCAAATGAGGCCAACAAGCCGCCTTTGATTGGCCCATCCGGCTCCGTTCTCCAAGCTGAAGTCCCTGCACTGTGCCCAGCTGGCAGGATGAAAACCATTTGAAAAATATCCGGAAATTGCTACTCACCAGGGAGCATCTGTGAAAAATACTGGCCACAAATGAGCTGGCAGGAGCTCAGCAACTCTTGGGTCACCCTGACACAGGGAGTTTGTCTGAAGGGGTTCCGGGGCTGTTTCCCAGATGGGCTGCCCTGCTGTTGGAAATGCTTGGGCCCGGTGAATATTTGTGTAGAACATTTCTCTAATACAGTAGACACGTTCTAGAAAAGCTGTGAGTAAACCAGGGTCTTGAACTCAGAATCACATTTCTCAAACACACATATGAACAATCCTGTGTTGACCCTCTAAAATTCTCTCTAAAGTGACGGATTTTCCTAAAGAATTTGCCATTTTATGAGTCAGGATTCTTGAGACAGAATACTCAAGGTCATACCCAAGGTCATCAGGATGAAGAAATCCCAGGGCACCAAGACATGATCTGTACTTTTGTACATTGCTGCTGGAGAATGAGAGGCAGAGACAGACTCTCCTCCCAGTGCACTGGAGGCATTAGAATTTGCCCAGCCTCTTATAACGATGACTCCTTAAGAAATCAGTGCTGGAAAAATCTAATTCAACAGTTTAGTTCATCTTTCTGTGTCACAGATTATCCTCAATATTCTTTTATTAATTTTATTATTTTCTCTACCTTAATGTCCCTCTATAAAGTGCCAATATTGCTGTCCAGAAAATGTCATGTAAAAAATGTTTTCTGAGCCCAGAGTTTAGGCTCTTTTGTCTCATTTGGGAACGGGGTTGCTATTTCCTCTGATCTTTTCACCTTTTGGGTAGGTCAGATAAGGGTGCCCTGAGTTTTAGTAAAAGGGTTGAAATGAAGAGAATAAAATGTTCATTCACCATCTGAATCAAATACATAAACTGTTCTGTTCATGAACTTCTACCCTCTTAATGACCTGTCTGGTGGCTTCTGCTTACTTTAAACAGGTGCAAGACCACATAGACTGAGGAAGAAAAGACAGTTACAGAAATTATCTCATCAACAACAGTAAGACCCCACTCTAGAGTGACTGGAAACATCCTAGATGCATCTCACAGCAGCTCTTGGAGTAGAACTCTCAAGGATTCGGGCCATAACTTAGAAAAGGCTTTTTCTTATGATTCCTTCCCACACACTTGATCCTACTAAATAAAGAGGCCCTCTAGAGAAAGAATTTGAGAGTCAGGGTAAGGAGAAAGAGGCTTTGAGAAGCTAAGAGGTATAAGAGAGAAAAAACAAAGGGATAAGGAATTTTAAATAGTGATAAGATCTAACTCTCCCTTAACTTCTTTAAAAGCACAAGTGAAAAATGGAATTTCTTTTAATCACTTTTGGTTCATGAACCACGCTTTCTGAATGCACCCAAGTCTCACCTAAGTCATAAGATACTTCAGGGTTTATTCAATTTATATAAAAATATCCTTTCTTTTGATAAAGGGATTGGGGTGGGGAAGATGGTTGTTTTGTTTCAGAAATCCTTCAGAGATAGAATCAACACACATCATTTCAGTGAAAGCACCATGAGACACAGTTTGTCGAGATCCCTTTGCCCCTTGTCAACACAGCCTCAGATGCATCCAGACTAACACAAGGATCCCCTTGTCCATCCATCTGCAAGCTCTTCCAAATCAAACAAAATCTGCTGGCTGCAAAATAGGGCCCAAGACCCTCCTTTGTAAGTGCCACTGCAGAGCCCCACTCAAGAAGTTTCAGCACCTTTCAAAAGAGCAGGTATAAGTGCCCACTAGGGAAGTGTAGACCAGCCCTGTTAACTACAGGATCCCATTTTTCATCATGGTCTATATGTGACTACCACTAACTCCCTTGAAGATTTTTTACTTTTGTTATATTACATAAATATTGGCAGCCCCACTTCTTTTAAAATTCTCAGTTGTGTGGACTGACTCCAGTTGACATCCACCATTGTGGATTTCATTTATAGCAACTCACTTAAACATGACCTATTTTAATCCAGAGGCTCCCAAGCTCTAGTACATTTCAGAATCATTGATGGAGAGAGGACTCATTAAAAAGTAAGGATCTGTGGTGTTATCCTAGAAATTCTGACCTAGAAGATCTGCCTTTTGTGGAATTCCACTGACTCTGGTACAGGTGCTGCTTCTTCTTCTTTTTTTTTTTGATCAGAAGTGAAGCAACAGGCAGAGTGGACAGTGAGAGAGACAGAGAGAAAGGTCTTCCTTTTCGGTTGGTTCACTCCCCAATGGCCGCTGCGGCCAGCACGCTGGTGCATCACGCTGATCTGAAGCCAGGAGCCAGGTGCTTCTCCTGGTCTCCCATGCAGGTGCAGGGCCGAAGCACTTGGGCCATTCTCCACTGCACTCCCTGGC